CGGTGACTGGAGTCCCTCCAGTGCAGCCCTTCAAGTCACCCCAGGAGACCCTCAAAGACCTGCCTGTGATGGCCCAGCTACTCAGGGTCCTGAGGTTACTCATCCACTCTGCACCCAGTTGAGTCTTTGAGTCATCTGGAAGTTCCCCTGGCAACACCCAGGCCTTCCGCTCTGCTCTGCAGGTGGGAAGAGGGCTCAGCAGAAAGTCCTTTCTGCCTTATTCACCACTGACTCATCCTGGGCTATCGCCTGATAAGTCAACCCAAACTGGGGTGCTATTGGCAGTACCAATCACCAGACAAACCACCTTCCTGCTTCTGAGTCAAGAAGGTCACGCTGTGATGTTGCTGCCAGGTGACCCTTGGACTGTTTGCCTTAAGCTCCTGCTTCCGTACAGGCTCGTTTTATGGGCAACTCTCCCCTGCAATCTGGGAGGAGGGGAAAAGACAAAAGCGCAGGTTCTGTTCATGAGCCACTTGTACCATATATTCTAACCTGGAAGCGTACTTTTGTTGCCAGGTCAACAACTGCCTGCTCTGATTCCTTGTCTGATGACAGTGTCGGGGCAGCGTGTTGGGATTTGGACACACACATCGTTCTTTGAGCATAATGCTTCCTGTGTCACTGCCTTCCCCAGGACCTAGACACCTCCCCTCCACCTCCCCTCCCCACCCGCCATCTGCCCCAAGACCACTGCTTCCCTGAGATCATCTCATCTCTGCTCTACTTCCTTTCGGTATTGGAACTCTCAGAAGGTGGAGATGCTATCTGAGCTCTGGAATCAGCTACTCTACCAGAGAGAGAGAGATTCGGACTACAGACCTGCCCTGTACACCCACTGCCGATACTCTTGCTCCTACCTGGTGACCCTGTAGCTCTCACCCACCCACCCTCCCTCCCAGGCCCAACCTGCTTATCAACTCACTTCCAGGCAGCAGGTGGGCACCTCCAGAGCCCAGCTGCCCCGGGCACTTTTATTTTCTGATCTCGATTATTGCGTCACACTTTCAGGCGGTGGAGCCCAGTGACACCCTTTATACATTTGTACTTTGGGAAGCTTCTCCAGTCAGGGTGGTGCACACCCTTCTCTCGAGGATAGCTATCTGGTACCGTAACCTGGCACCTTTGGCCTCTGAGAAAACAGCCTGGTGGAGTCATTATCAACTTCCCCTGGCTTCTCTATTTCTGTGCGGTAGAGGTCAGACATGCTTGGACCTTCTATCTTTCTCTGCCTGTTCTGCTGGGTTCAAGAATTCATTGCAAGAGTCACACAGAACTCACAGATAATACTAGGCTGCTTAGCAAGAGGCAAAACATTTGTTTCCCCGTTTGTTCAGCACCTGAGGTATGCCTCAAATTCATCTTTACTTTGTGAAACGGTAGCAACCCCCGAGTTGGACCATCCCCAACATGATTCAGACTGGTGTCCCACAGAATGGCCATCTCCTGTCTGGGGAAAAGCAAGCGTGCTCAAGCCAGCAACTTCTCCACCCTCCCTTGCTGGGGTCGCCGGGGAGGGGATAAAAATCCTCGTCAACCAGACCGTTATGGACTGTGCTAAGTCCTTTCCATGCCTTAGCTCATTTAACCCTCTGGTTGCCACCGCAGAGCTAGGAGGACCACGACGAAAACCAAGGTCTTCTGATGCCAAATGGAAGACAGGGTAAAGCCCCCAGCTGCTTTTGTTGACAGTTTTGCTTTTCTTTTACAGAAAAACGCTGTGATTGAAAGCCTGCAGGAGCAGGTAAACAATGCCAAAGAGAAGCTAGTGCGCCTGATGTCAGCTGGGTGCCCCTCAGATGCCCCGGAAAGGAGCACAGGCACCCAGGCGGAAGCCTGGGGCCACAGCACCACAGCGGGGGGGCCTTCGGAAGGCCCCTCTCTCTCTCAGAACCACAGTGATGCCAGCCCAGCCGCCCCGGACTCTGGGAGCACCTCCATGCCTTCCTCAAACAGACAGAGCCTCGAGGGGCCTGTGGAGGACCCCAGCCCGTCCTCAGGGCAGATGGAGAAGGCATCTGACTTGAACAACTTTTCCAGCTGTAGCCCGAAGCCAAGGGCTGAGCAAAGTGGGCGTGCTGAAGGGGGAAGCCAAGTACTCCCGGACCCCAGCCAGGGTCTCCTACCAGGTGATGACTCAGTTCCCCAGAGACAGAGACAGCAGGAGAACTCAAAGGAACCCTCAGGGCGGCTGTCAAGGGTCAATTCCGTGATCAGGGAGAAGCTTCGGGAAGTGTTACAAGATCTGAGCCTTGGCCCTGAGGCTCCCGGCCCCTCTTCTCCCCCTCATCCCCAGCCACCCCTGAAGAGCCCCCAGAAGATACCCTTCCCCAGGGAGCTGGGCTTCAGCCCATATATGGTGAGGCGGCGGCAGCGGGCTCCCTCACGCTTCCACGGCTCAGGGCTCTCATCCCTAGGGCACCGGGCATGCGGGACTGGTTCTGGGGCGTGGGGCGGGCTGCAGGCAGAGAACGTGGGCGGCTCGAGTCCGGACCACCACCGCGCGGCCTACCCCAGGCCCACTTCCAAGAAGCCTTTCCTACCCCTAGAGCCCCGGGGCCGACCGGAGATGCTGGCGCCCAGCCACCCTCATGAGCGTGCTGCAGGCGGTTCTGGCCCAGCCGAACGTCCCACCGCTACCCCAAGCGGCGCCAGAACCTCCCCCGACCTGCCCGGGCGGCCTCCGGGGTCCCCAGTGTTCCCCTCCGCGTCTACTCCATGCAGTTACCTTGACAGCGAGTCCAGCAGCTCCGACGACGACGAGTTCTTCTGCCGCTGCCACCGCCCCTACTGTGAAATCTGCTTCCAGAGCTCCTCGGACTCCAGCACTTCCGAGCCCGACCCTGGGCCCGCCGGGGCCCGGGCCTCCTGGGAAAAGCCGTGGGCCAGCTCAAAGCCTGTTGTGAACTTCAAAGATGACTTGAAGCCCACCTTGGTGTGAGCCGCAGCAGAGCTGGTCTGGGGACAGTGCTTGGCCCTACATAGGGCGCACAAGGATCCGGGGAGGGAGGGCGGGCTTCTTGCCTGCTGGAGCACAGACCAGTACCCTCCACACCGACCTGACTCTGTTCCAGCTCTGCCTGGTTCACTGCTTGGCCTTGAGGGCTTCTTGGTCTAAAGAAAGAGGGGCATTGCCTCTCTGCTTACTACCTCAGCATGACTCCAAAAGACTCCAGTCCAGTGGCTAAGAAGGGACCATCTCCTTGGATAAAAGGTGCTGAATGTACGGCCTGCGTTCTACAGAACTCTTAACCTGCGGCTCCTGGAAAATGCAGGGAGAGATGGAGGGGAGTTTTCCGCAGAGCTAGAGTTATGGGTTGCTAGTCAGCCAACTGGCCTTTTGGTGGACAGACCTGCCAGAAAGAAAAATCTGTATCTTTGGGCCTCCCTATTCTTGGGAGAGGGTGGTTTTGTTTCTGCTAACAGTTGTGTACAGCACCTCCACTACACCCTAGATTCTGGTCACATTCAGCTCTGAGCCACCTCCACACTACTATTCCTGGTTTGGGTGTTCCCACACTTAGGACCCCTAAGACGGTCAGGGTCTCCACGTGCCCTCAAGCTCCCCAGACCTCTGCTAGGCTTGTGCCCTCCCTCCCCACCTTGACTCTCCCGGTGGCACAATCGGGATTTTGGATTTGAAAGTTTTGAACTGAGAGCAGGCCACCTCTGCTGCCGTAAGGGGGAATCTTTGACTCAAGAGGTGCTTTGGTCATGGACTCCAGACTACCTGGAGCCACGGAGACTGGACGAACCCCTGAAACGATTGCCCTGAGATCATCTTGAAACCTTCATCCAAAAATATCCCCTGAAGTCTTCTGAAAACCAAACAGTAGCATAGCTTAACCAGTTAAACAGAACAAAAACAAAATCTACCTTGAACATGTTCTTGTAAGAAGTATCTATCTCTATGGGAGCAAACTGAGAACAGCAACTCAAACGATTCGAGAAGACTCTTGGGAGCCAGTGAGTATATGTTAAGCAGAGAGAACTAGCTCATAAGAGGGTGGGAATCGGTGACAACTCAGAGAATACGGCCAGTGTCACTCGGTGCTGCTTATGGAGACTGTTGAATCAGTGTTTTGCCGTGTCTATTCTCAACAACAAACCAAAATGGTAAGCCCTATGGGTGACATGAGGATTACCTGAACAGACAACCAGTACACAAAGAAAATGGGAAACTTCAAAAGGAAGACACGGAGTACGAATGGAAGAGAAGACAGGCAATGAATCCATTTTTGAACATGGCACCTGGCACAGGCCTTGGCAAGAATCACATTTCAGGAATTTGCTGAGCTTGTGAAGTAGACAGTCCCATTCCGATTTTCACAGATGGGCAGTAGAAGTGGGTGATGTCGTCAACATCGCACAGCCAGAGGCTGGGACTTGCACACACAGCTCATGTGACTCCAAGTTCAAGGGATTCCCCTCCCCACGCAAGGACTGATCCCTTCACTTATTTTTCTGGGAGTGGCAGGAGGGCCTTGGCAGGGAAGAGGCAAACAAGTGTAGCCTGTGAAAGCTGCGATGTGCTTGCACGGCCGTCCTGGACAACAGCGCTGGGTGTCTCGTTCAAGAGGCGCACAAACACACACACACCTCCCCAGGGATCCAGGCATCTGCCGCCAGAGCCACAGGGAGAGCACAGCTGGGTCTACTTTGCCTATTGCTGAGCTGGCTGTTTACAGGCCCGCCCCGCCCTCACTGCCTGTGTGTCTATGTGTGTGCACGTGTTGGTGTAAAGGCACTGGGCCTCATTAGATATGCTCGGAGGAGGGTGTTTGGCCCTAAATGTCTACAGAAGATCTATCATGGACTCGGAAGCTGCTGAGTACCTTGTGACTCTCTGGGCCCTGGACCAGGAGGCCCTCCCGGTAGTGTAACTTCTCATATCATCTACGTCTAAAATATGAATTTCCTAGTTGATGCTCGCATGGCCTTGTGGTTTCTGCTTTGCTGTTTGTATGCTGTCCGAGTGATGCCCTAATAAAAGAAAAAAAGTCCCGAAGTGAGCTGCTTCACAGGTTATGGTCTCCGGCTGGGTGGGAAGAGCTCTGAAATAGCTGAACCACTCCGAGGAGTAGAACCCCAGAGGCCCTCCATTCCTGCTGGGAGACTACGGGATCCAAGTGTATCTTCTACCCAACTCCCATTTCTAACAAATCCTCTAGCTTCCTGGTCCAGAAATACTTGCCCCACTGGAGACCTGGGGCTCTAGCACACACCAGGATCTGGGACTGAGCTCACTCCCTTTGGGGAGTGGGGGAGGCACGGTGGGGGTGTCTAACCTCCTGTAACTTCACAAAGGAGTTGTTTTGGGTCGGTGCCATCCACTCTGTTCTGACCCATAGTGACCCTATGTACAACAGAAGGAAATGTTGCTCAGTCCTGCACCATCCTCACAATTGGTCCTATGTTTGAGCCCGTTGTTGTAGCCACCGTGTCCATCCACCTCATTGAGGGCCTTCCTCCTTCCCTGCCCCTCTGGCATCGTGGGAAAGCACCACTCCACAAGAGGGTAAGATGAAATTTCCTACTCCCATAAAGAGTTACAGTCTCCAAAACCCACAGAGGCACTGGTACCCTGTCGTATAAGGTCACCATGAGTCGAGATTGACAGATGGCAGTGAGTCACGAGAGGGAGAGAGATTCATTTCAACACCAACAGCTCAAAGTCGATTGAGAATGAGGTGGAGGTCAACCAGATCTCCATGTTCCAAATGTTTATGAATTCTGAGAGCAGGTGTCCCTCCCATGGCACTCCACTTCCCTGATAGCTGCAGTAACTTATTGTAATGGCCACCTAGAGCTCACAGACCAACTCACAAGTTGTTCTTAGAGACAACTCGGGATACAGGTCTTCAGTTAGGGCAACTTCTCAGCAATGCCCACAGACGGCTCACTCGCTCACTCTGTTTCAGTGCCTTGGCCCAGCCTTTGTCTGAAGACCCTCATCTTTATAGACCCATGGGGCAGCAAGCCTCGCTCCCCTGACAAGTGCCCTGAAGTGCCCCACTCCACCAGGAAGCCTCCTGCCTGAAGGCGCTCAGTGCTCTCATCGCATGTGTTGGCATGCCAACTGTAGCCGCCTTGCGCAGTGGGCTGGGAGGTCCACTGCACCATTTCATATCAGTTTCTTGGTTCTGCTGCCACTGTTTCTTGCCATCTTCAGTGTTACAGTTCTCTCTCCCTCGTCACACCGCTCTCTCCTGGGTCTAGGGTTTCTCAGTATAAAGGATGTGATCTATCTGCTCCTTGGTGGTAGTAAGGTCCCGTCTATTCTCTGGGATTAGCTCTCTTTAAACTTAATAGCATGGTAAATTGACCAATCCCCTCATTCGCGTTCCATGCAGCTTATTTGCATTCTTAGCAAATTATCCAGTCCCCATAGCGATTCTCTAGCACCTTATTTGCATAGCCTTACCTAATCTTTCCCCCCACCCCTCCAGGAGTCACAAGATAATACAAGGCCATTTTAAAAAGATGTCATACCTCAACTTATCTGCCCACCCCCACCCCCACCCCGGCTTCCTTTATCTCAGCATCACCCCTACTAGCTGCCTACTTTGCATCAGTGTGGATATTGCAGGTTCTCAGCATCACCCCTACTAGCTGCCTGCTTTGCATCAGTGTGGATGTTGCAGGTTCTCAGCATCACCCCTACTAGCTGCCTGCTTTGTATCAGTGTGGATGTTGCAGGCCCTGAACCTGGCCAACACTCCAGCCTTCTTACTCTTTTATGAGACTCAGTTCTAGCCATTTCAACCGTTCCACATCTCTATGCTTCTGTGTCTAGACTTCCCTGACTCTCTTAGTGTACCTTATGAATTGGTCATTCATCAAGAATCGGGCAGCACTGAGGTAAAAAAAAAAAAAAAGCAAAAGGGGTATAGGGAAAAAGCTACTATATACAAACATTCTTGAGGTAAGGACCAGGTAATATGGAAGGG